ATGGAATGACAAATCCTGTGGGGAAAAGAAGCTAATAATCTGTGAATTTTAGACCACCCATCACAATATGTCCAGTCTATAGGCCCACAAATTTTAATCACCTTTTTATCTATAGGAATTAAGATAAAATAATCACCAAATTATTCATCTTCACAATTTTTTTGTGAAGTGAGTTGTTGGTATATCTGCATGATTAATATAGCCAGTGATGACTATGACAGCAGCAATACTCATCCATGCACAAATCCGGAAAACTGAAGAAATCCCAAAAATGGGAATTTGGATAATTGAAACTTTTGAGATGGTACAAATGCATAAGCTAACCATGTTTCTGAGAAGAAAAACAATCAAAGACATTATAGCAAATTGGGAACTTTTCAGTTATTTGATAAAAAAATTAAATTTAAATTAAATATTTAAAAATTACTATAAAAGTTGGAGGGTTAATAAAACAATATGTAACTGTAGGGACTTGGATTAATCATATGCATAAGTGAGAGAGTAGGAAGTTACTTTCTTTTTAAAAATCTGTTAGGATAAGTATATATTTAGTTAATCATATGTATACTTGTATACATTTTGTTAAAAAATCATATATTTTGTAAAGTGTGTCTTTATGTGGTATGTTTGTTATGCATTCAAAATAAAATAAAAGTAATACAATCCAGCATTATTATAATATGTTCCTATATTATTTAGTCTTGAGAAGTTGCAACAGTATAGTTACCAAGCTTAAATCTAATTTTTTAAAATCCAACAAATGTATTTCTATAGCATCAATGCTACCTTCATACATCAATGCTTAAGTAGGTTCCATTGGTCTACTTTAGTTGGGACTAATTATTGAGCTAAACTTACATTCTTTTTGGATGAAAGAGGACTGAGATGAAATTGCATTCGTTTTATAATTAATTACAAAGAGTAGCTCATTATAAGTATGCAGCAACTCTCCAGAAGAAAAATTGTGCTCTGCCATACAGCACCATCTTGAGGAACCAGGAAGAACATCAGCAAGGGGCTTGGAAGGAAGAGGCAACAAGCAACACTTGCTTGTTGTGAGATGCCTCTGACCTCAGCTCCTAGTGCAGAGGACTGGCTCTTCACAGACTGAAGGTCTAACTAAAGGCAAGGTCTGGATTCTCAGCAAAACAGTGGCTTACCTCCAGAGGCTGGGGGACAAAAGGAGGACACCTGTGGGTGAGGGGCTGGCACCAAAGGGGCAACACCGAAGGGGTGATGCCAAAGTTGGGGGACCCACTTTGGGCATGGCACGAGGGCAAGGACCTGTCCTTCAAGTCTATTATTTTGTTTCTAACATCTGCCTACCCAATTTTATATAAGGTTGTTCTTATGTGCCATCTTTTAGTGCCCTCCCTCCCATGTGGGAAGGATGTGATTTCTAGAGGAGGGAGTCACCAGATTCATGGGGAAGCAATTGCTGTCATACAGGGAAGGGGAAGATGCAGAAGGAGCAGACAGTCTCATTCCCAACCAAATGGGGACTGAAATAGAGTACTTATTGCTCCCAAACATTCTCCTTTATCCTTCCGGCAGCAGGTTAAATCCTTTTTATTTAGACAGACTTTAAAATATGAAGGTGATTAAGACCATTTCAGGTGGTGCTGTGGTGCTTAAATTTAAATTTGTTTTAATGATTTTGAACTGGGAATTTTAAAATACTATTTATACTTAATCCTGTTTTATTGTTCTTTTATTTGTAGATTTTAAATGGCTATGCTGATGCTTTTATGTTATGTTAAGTGTCTTTGAGTCCCTTGCAGTGGAGATAAAGCGGGGTATAAATTATTATTATTATTATTATTATTATTATTATTATTCTACCTGACATCCGCCGGGAAGTAACAACCAATAGTGAAAGGACCAAGGCAGTGACATCTCCAGCTCATCCCCTGTTTGGGTATCAGCCAGCATGCCAACGACTTAAATCTAGAAATAGTTTTCTAAGATCTACAGAGACACTCGCTGGAACACCTCAGCAAGCGAGAGTCCAAAAGTGGCAGGCTCAAACCCAGAACCTCAATCAATGGCTGATACCAAATGAGAGACTCCCCCCTGGGCACACAGAGGACTGGGTGACTTGGAAGGCGCTGAACAGACTGCACTCTGGTACCACGAGATGCAGAGCCAACCTTAAGAAATGGGGCTACAAAGTGGAATCCACAACATGCGAGTGTGGAGAAGAGCAAACCACTGACCACCTGCTGCAATGCAACCTGAGCCCTGCTACATGCACAATAGACGACCTTCTTATAGTAACACCAGAGGCACTCCAAGTGGCCATATACTGGTCAAAGGACATTTAATCAACTACCAAGCTTGCAAAATTTCTGCTTTGTTTGTTTGTTTGTTAGTTAAAAATGCAATACAACTGTTTGGTTTGCTCCTGACATGATAAATTATTATTATTATTATTATTATTATTATTATTATTATTATTATTGATTAATTCCCCCAGCCCAGATGATTCAACATAATGTGTCATATACAGTGACTTCACGTTGATGGGAAACTGCATTGGTTATTTTTAGGTCAAGAGGGAGAAGAACAGTGAGTGGAGTTAGGACTTGAGCTTTGCCCTATATGCTTGCTATTGGTAGACCTAATGGGTGGGATCAAAATCAGAAATGATTCTTTTTTTAGAACAAAGCAGAGAAATTAATGAGTTACTCAAATGTGGCAATTTCCAATTGGAAAACTATAACTGGGCTCATAGAAGGCAAATTAGATCCTGCAAATAACACCTTTTCGTGAAATCTGGAGTCTATTAGGAGCAAGGTAGGAAACCGATGTGTTTATTTTTTAAAGTATGCATTAATTTTACTTCATCTAAATTTTCACCAGCCAATTGTAGATGAATCTGACAGCCATATGTCACAATTCTAGAAAGTGAGTTGGATCTGTAAATTCACAGTGCAATTTTGTATTTAAAAGTTCCCATTTATCTCAATGGATCTTAGTTCTAAATATCCTAAAAGGTTGTTGACTTTGCTACATAACTGACACATTTAAAGACAATCAAATAACAGTTGTTTTTTTCTACAAACACCCACAAAACATTGATCGTCCAGCACATTTGAAATGACATGCCTCCCTGTAGTTTTCATATTATATGGAATTTACCTTTTCATACGAGATTTAAAAATGTATTTATCTTGGCACTAAAGTTCACCTATAACAGAGTTTTCATGACATGCTTCATTCACAGAATGGTTTTTAAAGCTAGATAAAAATTCTTTCGCAAGCAGATTTCCAGAAATGAAATTACATTGTGGCGTTTTCTGTCTTCTTTTGGAAGTGACAGTGTCACTAACTGCAAACCCAGATCAATACAGACGTGAAGAGAAAGTAAATGCGTGCCCTTTTGTTCTGGGGAATTTTTGAGTTGCCAGACAGAAAGGTGA